TACGGCGACCTCTGCGCTTGGATAACTCGACTTTTGACGACAGTGACGACTTTTGGGTTCAAAATTGGACGGCTGGTTAGGAATGGGATCGGCGCGATTGCTTTTTCTGTTTTCAAATCTGGGAAATTCGTTGTCAATATGCGTTCTGGGAGGTATATATTCTTGTGGGCTTGGCCACTCTGTTGTACATTCAAGGTTTACCACATGAACGAACTTGTCATTGTGCACTGACAGTTTCATCTGCCCCTTGATACCTTGATCCGCCGGCGGATGCTAGAGATTTCTGACGGCAACCGCAGTGACTGGGAATGCTCAGGTCCCGAATTAACGAATAATCGAAACCACAATAGCCGACGGAAGATGACAGATGCAAGCTTCAGCCGTTTCTCCCCGGAGAGGACAGACCGCACCGGAAGGAATGGACAGGCTTTACGATCCGGCTTATTTCAGTGCCCAGAGGGTTGTCGCGCGCTGGTCCACATTCCCGACGCCCTGTGGCTTTGATATCCAGGCAAAAAGGCAGAAGACATGACTGTTAAGAGCCACAGATCCATCAATGTCTCCTTCCTGGCATTCCGCATGGATCAAGATCATAGGATGCACCCAGGGCGAAAGACCCCCTCTGTTCCGCCGCCTCCACTTTCACTTCCGCCAGCGGACGTCTTCGCACCGCCTTTTTCTCCGCTCCGCCCTCCTTTTTCGATCGTTCTCCTTGCCGCTTTTGCGGGAGGACGAGCCCGAGGACAGCCCTAAGGTACACTATGACACTTTGGGCATGAAATTACACCTCGGACGCGTCTGGAGGAGCGCATTAGACGCGTAGAGACAGTAATCATTGATTCGCTCCTTGGTTGTAATGTAGGCAGCGATTGGCGCCCGATTGAAGTTGTAGAGCTTGTTCTTGAGACGTCCGTAGTCAAGTTCTCAGCCTTCCTAGGGTCTAGATGGGAAACGCGCGGTTTTCACCCACGTAGAAGCGTGGCCCATGGCTTCCTGTACGCGTCAGTCATAGCTCTGTGAATCACCTAGTGGCCACGAAGGATGAGCGATGTATCCAGAAGAGGAACCACGGTCAGATCTACGGGCGTGTCACTTGACCTGGAGTAGACATGTGAGGAGTTTACCTCCAGACATTCAAAAAGAATGATGAGAACACCATGCAAGAGAGAGCATAAGAGCCTTAATTAAGTTTTAGGATCGATAGTCCACTAGACTAGTAGAATGTGATGCGACTAGTCGATATAATGTGGGTGATGATAATGTGATTACCCCTGAATCAAGAAACCTGAAACAGGAAGACCACTATGGCTCTTGCGACATAGTCACGAACATGGAAGATCCCTTGAAGACATTGTTGAACGTCATGTGCCAGGATTGAATAATTAATTATATCATGTACTGTGTTCGCAGCTCAAGTTCAGGCTGTTGCTTCCGAAGTATTTGATGTGGATGTATATTCTGATCTGGAAAGCGTGTTATAATATTGGGCTACGATGGCTCATGTATTATAGACAGTAGAATACTGTAGTTCGTTAAGGTAGTGCTATGTCGCCTGAAGAGCGCAGACTGGAATCTTCAGGACATCACTTCGATTAAGGCTATCTTCTGGGGTTCTCAGCTCGACCAGTGGACGTTTCTACTCGATGAAAGGATGGAAGAAATAGGAAACATCTATATCATTCTGTACATGTCACCTCCCAGGGCCATGTCAATCTATACTATGTATAGAAGCGATTATGCTCGATATACAACAGCCAACGCAGCAGAAAGCAAAGGTCTATTGAAAAGTTCGCTCTTCCTCAATTGCCCGGTTGATGACGCGGACAAAACGGCCCACCTTGTCAGGATCCTGCTTCGCTGTTTCAATACCCAAAAGCACTTTCTTAACGCCAACGCCGATAGTTCTATCTTCGGTGATGCCACCAGCTTCTGCCAAAGCCTGCTCGATCTCAGAGGCATCAAATGCTCCGGACTGCTCCATGATATAACGCAGCTCGTCGTACGTCATCACGTTGGGAACCATGATATCCGAGTTGAACGAGTTATAGATGTCCAACTGTTTGAGCACAGCGCGCTCCGTTGTGGTGGCAAGGATCAGCAGCCGTCGGCCTTTGGTAGGCTGTTTTCTCAGGAAGACCATCAAAGTCTGAAGGAGAGTGTTGCTGAAACGAGGACCGATGGGGACCCAGTCGATGATTCTCTCGATATTGTCAACGACAACGACACTCGTGCGACTCTTGTAAGCATCATCGAAAATCTTGCTGATGTACTGAACCCTGGCCATTTCACTAAAGCCGACCATGTCCTCAGGGCTAATCAGCTTGATGAAGGGGAAACCGGAATCAATCGCAATTCGAGCGGCTAGAGCAGTCTTCCCACTGGCAGTGGGACCATGCAACAGAACAGAAAAGAGGGGCGAGGATTCAGCATTGCTGACTTGCTTCACGAAAAGCTCTCCTTCTTTGAGGATTTCGTTAATTGTAGGGGAGTAATGAATGATGCCGTACTGGATACGGCTCGAGAGCTGTTCCTCTGACACACCAAAAGCAGGTTGGACTTCATCCAGCGCATGGTGGAAATCGGCTCTGTTGACCTTCATGTTTACGACATCCTCGCTGATACCGGCCATAGTACCGACCTTGACATGCCGGGTAAAAGCAAACGAAGACGCAGACTTGACAAGGCCAGCAATTTCAGCGCCGGAGAAGTTTTTAGTAAGGAGAGCGAGCTCAGCCAGGTCAACGTCTCGATCCATGACATTGTTCTCCCTCATCTTCTGGGTGTGGATCTTCAGAATCTGAGCCCGTCCATTCTCATCTGGAAGAGAAATCTCCATGTGCACTTCAAGACGACCCGGCCGCAACAAAGCTTCGTCAATCATGTCCTTTCTGTTAGTCATACCGATCAGGAGGATATTGTTCAGCTGGTCAACACCGTCCAGTTTCGACAGTAGCTGGTTGACCACACTGTCCCCAACGCCTGTGCCACCGCCTGCTCCGCTGCCACGTTGCTTACACACAGCATCCAGCTCGTCGAAAATAATGATATGAAGCCCACTCTCCTCGCCCTTTTCTTTATATTCCTTTTCTGCATCGGCAAACAGCTTTCGAATGTTCTCCTCCGACTGACCGACAAACTTGTTCAACACTTCAGGACCGTTGATGACCTTGGGCTCCCTCGCGTTCAGCATCTTTCCAATCTGCCGTGCGATCAAGGTCTTACCCGTTCCGGGAGGACCGTAAAGCAGAATACCCTTCACGTGCTGGATACCAAGCTTTTCGACCAACCCAGGAGGGAAGATACGCGATGCAAACGCACGACGGAAGATTGTGCTGAACTCCGCGTCAAGTCCTCCAATCCCCATATCTTCGAACTTAAAGTCGGGTGTGATAATAGAGTTTGCTGCGGGGCGACGATTCGATGGCTTCAAGTTGATGCCCGTGCGCGCATCCTTGAAGAAAGTAATCTGAGTGTGCCTTGTCAAGATTCCTCTCGCCGTGGGGTCCGTCTCAATGCTTCCAGCAGCAGCCCCAGCTTTCTCCGATGTAAGGTCGACCCGCTGAACGGTCTTGATAGTCAAGAGCAGCGGTATGCTCTTATGATCCATCAAAATCTTCTGACCCGGAGAGAAGATCTGGTTCTCAAAGTTCTAGAGAAAGTTAGTACTGTGCAAAAGTCATCAACCCAAACGAGTATTTACCTTGATCACGGCGTTCGCTAACTCATCTTGGTCGTACGGAGTCTCGACCCTCTTTTTCCCAGCAAAGCCGACTTCAATATCTGTTGATCCGAGATAGGCTTGTCCGCCCTGACTGAACGGATCGTATATCTGAGCCTTGACTGAATCTGTAAAAGCAACGCCCGCCCATGTCCGCTGGGGATCCGACATGCTGATATGTCCAGGAGGGAAACCATCGAGAGGACGAGCAGAAAAGACATAGAGATCGTTCACAAGGAGTAAAAGGTCAAGTCCGTCGCGCGAAGGCGGGAAGTCCTGTGTTGAGACGGCAACACTACTTGTTGTTAGCTTGTAATTCCAGAACCCAACTTCACATGAACAAAACTTACAGGTTTCCAAACGTATACGAGTTGTCAGGGCTCTTCGCAGGTCGTAGCGTCCATACCTGGGCTGATGCACCGGGCGCCCTGCCTCCTACTGGGTTTCTTGGAGGTGCCTGCGAGTAACCTGGCCTGGGTGGCGGAGTTCCATAACCTCTTGAATGATTATACGCATCAGTCATCTGGACATCGTGGTCAAACTGATACGGCGATTGTTCATACCCTGCGCCACTCATCGGCGAATGGCCAGTGTCATACCCGTCTTTTCGTGGAAGTGGGGGACCTTGACCAGGACTCGCATTGCCTTGGGAGGAGGGGCGACCTGAGAAGGGATTCGGTACAGATGGATAGTTGTTGCGGTTGAACATGTTGGTTCTAATAAAGGTGGGACATTCGAGAACGATTCGATTAGGCGATGGTTGCGAGCCTGTTGTTGAGAGGCGGGGTGGACGATGAGACGCAAGTGTGGTTTAGGAACAGGAGTAGCTGACTGAAGGTTGCGGCGATCGTCAAGATAGCCTGTTTATGTGAGAAGGAATGTATGAGCCTTGTCAGAGGGTGGAGATGATATGTGTATTGAAAAGTCTAATCGGGGGGAGAAGAAGCATGAGACTTGAGCAATTTATGGAGAGAGATTACTTCGTAAGAGACGTGTGTATAACGTGGCGGGGGGTATCTACCTAAGAAGTTGGAGACAAGTCTGGAGTACCTAGGTAGATAGATACCTGAGGCAGGGTTACTCACTTTGCCAGAGATCCCAGATTAGCCACATCGGCCCGTGAAGCTCCGTTTTCGCCGATCGGTGTGGCTTAAGCTAGTGATGATCCACCCTTATCGCCTTGGGAGTTCTCTGGCAATTCGTTCGACTCTTCGGTTGTGTCCAGGCAGTTCGCTTGGGTTGATGCTGCGTGATTAGGTGCTCGTAGAGTACTCGATACATCATGCCTCTGTAAGTTCATTGAATTTGTTCTTATGCAATTCTACCGCGCATACTGAGTGCATTGAGCAGTCACCTACTCGGCAAGAAGTCATGGAACGTCTACAATCCGGAGAACATCGCCCGTGTGCGGCGTGACGAGGCTCAGGCTCAGGCTCGGGAGGAGGAAGAGGAACGTCGTATGCAAGAAGTTGATGCTGAGCGCAGAATTCAAATTCTCCGTGGCGAACGGCCCTCTACCCCACCACCCCCGCCCTCTGCTCCATCAGATACCCGACGAGACAGGACACATGGAGAGGATGCTGGAAGATATAGAAAGCGGAGGCGACTGGCAGGTGAAAATGATACGGATCGCGATATCAGACTCGCGAGGGAAGATGCTCAGCTGATGCTGGCGAAAAGGGAGGAGCTTGCTGTGTCCAAGACCAGCGATGCGCCGCTTTTAGACAGTACAGGGCATATCAATTTATTTCCTTCCGAGGCAGTGCGGAAACCAGCAGAAAAAAATCAAGAGGCGGAGAAGGAGGCAGCTGACAAGAACCGGAGTTATGAGGACCAATATACGATGCGCTTCTCGAATGCGGCGGGGTATCGACAGTCCGCTGGCCGAATGCCTTGGTACTCTTCGTCCAGTCGTGATGTTTTGGCGCCTGATGCTATGCCTGAAAAGGATGTTTGGGGCAATGGGGATCCGATGAGACAGGAGAGGGAGAGAGCCCGGCTGGATGCCAACGATCCACTTGCGGCGATAAAGAGGGGAGTTCGCCACCTGAAGTCGGTCGAACTTGAACGGAAGAAGTGGAACCAGGAGAGAAAGAGAGAATTGGATGCACTGAAAGAGGCACAAAGACGACGGTCGCGTCATCGCAGAAGGAGATCATCGTCAAGATCAAAAGCGTCGGACTCTGGGGATAGCCTTGAAAACTTCAGCCTTGACGCACCTAACAAACATAAGGACAAGGAATCGAGGAGCTCACACCGACATCGCTCGCATCGCCGCGAAAGAAGTCGCGATCGTGCTCGCGATCGTTCTTGCAAGCGACACCGTCACTCCCACTCCCATTCGCCCCGTCGTCGTAATCACCATGACCACGACCGAGGGGACGCTCGCGAGGCGCAGTCGCACAAACGCCATGCGTGACACCTTTCTTTATGGAAGCTTGATCTTGATGTGAATGATTTACGACGTTTGACCCCTACCATAGCTACCGATGGCTGAGCCAACTATAGTTGCTTCATGAGATTGTGCATTTGTTTTCGAAATTGAGCGTCTCTCTATTTTGAGCGGTATGTTGGTACCAATCAAGTATGAATCATGAATTACAATAATAGACAAAACTTTTGATTAAGCGTCATAACTCATTGGAGCGCCCATTTTTGGGCCCCCTGCTCGCCCGCTTGCGTGTCCCATTCGATGGTGATGTCCAGCGAGCGCGACCCTTCTTCTCTCTTCTGATAACCGACCTTGCCGGTGATGGTCTGACCCTTCTTTAGGGCGACTCCCTTCTTTCTCTCGCGATCAATCAGGAGAACACCCTGTTGCCAATGCGTCTCCGGTCCGTCAGGGCCTGTAGTGAAGGCGACGAAACCCTTTTTCTGCATGTCTGAAGGAACGGCGTTCTTCGGGATAGTAGAATCCCTAGAGGGCATGAAGAAAATATCAAACCAGATAGCGAAACCGTCGAGGGCGTCGATATCTTCCTTCAGAGTAACCTGGAACTCCTTCAGGAACGTGAGCTCCTCCACGGTGATGGTGTGCAACGGCAGTTCTAGGAAGACATCGGAATCACCAGGAATAGCCGCAGGCTGTACGCTACGAACAAGCGCGTCGTCGTAGATGTTCTTGCGCATGCTGCCCATCTTGAATCCGTACACATCGTCCCAGAATGAGATGTGCGACGAGATGAACTCGGAATCGGCGAACGGCGCAATACGTAGGGTGGCGTCTGAGGGTACCATCAGTCCTCCTGGAGCAAGATACCGGTCTCTGGCGTAAATGACCGAATCGAACATAGCCTCGAATAGAAGGCAGTAGCCCATCCATTCGGAGACGATGATGTCGACCTGGGGAACAGGCAGAGTGACTTCTTCAATCTTGCCACGGATGCATCTGATCTAATGTTAGATTCCGGTAGATGAATATCTGACGGGAAGCAGAAATACGTACGTGATCACATCGCCGAAGCCGTTGGTGTAGATGATCTCCTTGGCTCTGTCAATGATATTGGAATTGTCGACTGAGATGACCTTCTTGGCACCTGCTTTCGCGCAGAACATGGAAAGAATGCCAGTTCCACATCCGACATCTAAGACGACCTTGTCCTTGAAGAGATGCTTGTTGTCGTAAATGAAATCGCGATAGGAGTCAGTACGGACAGTATCCTTGAGCATGGACTCGTGGATGGCTTCAAAAATATAACAGTTAGGTAAAAAGCATATTCAGCTCGACAGGGCAGCGGAGAACTGACCATTGTACGAATAAGAAACGAAGTAATCTGAATCTGCCTCCTCAATCTTGCTCATCTTCTTGCCGGACGGGCCGCTGGGCGATGGTCCCAATTTCTCATCTTCCTTCGACAACTGTTCTTCCATTGACTTTTGCACGGCCATTCTATATTCAGTGAACTGGCTCTGAAGGCGTTCAAGGTCCTCCTGCAGCTCGATCACGCGGCGCTCTGCCTCAGTGGCACCGGCTGTCGCGGGTTCTTCGTCGTCGATATCGTCCAAGCTATACAAAAGGGCGTCGTCCTCAAGGACCGGCTTCAAGTAAGCCTCGTCCTCAAACTTATCTTTCGAAGAGACATCCGGGGTCGTGTTCCCAGCTTTGACTTGAGACCGGACATAATTGACTAATTTGATAGTACCGAGGAAATCCAAGTCTGATGTGGAACGTAACAGTTAGCTAGGATTTCTCGCAAACAATCATGATTATGCCCATATTAGGAGCATCAGAACAATAACGAGAACAGAGCGCCCCAACGATCGATATTACACACCAAGATCCTTTCGAATCTTCCGCAAGTCAAAGCCATGCTTGTCTTTAGACTCCTGGAGCATCGACTGTACATCGGGGTAGACCTTATCGGAAAACAGGCCAATTACCGGCTGTGTCACGTCATCAGGCTCAACATCTTCCCATCCCTCTTCGTTGCTGATATCCGAATCGTCTGAAGAGGTTGTCGAGAGGGCATCTTGGTCCCTTAAGGGACGGTCTGAGGGAATTGTGGCAGACATTGACTCAATTCAAATTTGGACAACGGCAATTCAATTTCTGCACTCCTAATTCTTAGAATTCTTGATTATTTGCACGGAATTGTGGCGACCAATGGACCATGTAAATATATGGACGGAGGGGTTCAAGCAATTGAGGGGACCAAAATCGGTACAAAAAAAAAAAAAAGAAAAAAAAATTGAGTTATCACAACAGAACCCGCTGGTTGCCCCGCCCAATGCTGGCTGGGTACTTTGTTTATCGGCACTCCGCCTGACACCAGCTCATCCCCCTCAGATCGATAGGGCAGATAACAAGTCGGAGCTGAGACAAACCTCATCGTCATCACCACCACCTTCTCCTTCTCCATCTCTTTTCTCCTTGTGCAGGCTCACCGCTTCGGCGCTTCCTTCAGTCGAGACAGAGCAAGTGTTCATATTACCCTTCTTCTGCTAGGGATCAATTGCTTACCCTGCATCTTTCACATGCACTGAACAGCTCATTGTCTCCCATCCTCTCCTTTGTTTCCTCTACACCAACCTTCCCTGTCCAATACATATTACATTATTTATATCAACGGAAATGGCTTTCCTCTGGCGGAATCGACAACGGCCGCCTTCTGACGTCGTCCGAACAATTAAGGAGCTATTGTTAAGACTAGGGGAAGCACCGGCAGCTGCCAAGGTCAGTCTCACAGGTTCCCTCTGCTTGTTTATGCCATACATTGTACGAATCTGCAGCTTGCTGACAGCTCCATACAGGTCGAAGATGACCTGGCCAAGCAACTTGCGCAAATGAAAGTGATCGTCCAAGGCACTCAAGGTTAGTGTAATGAGCGTGCACCATTGTCTCGCCGCATCGGCGCATTCTATGAAAGAGTAAGGTCATTATGCTGACTGCAGTCCGCTTTAGAAACTGAGACGACTCCGGAGCAAGTACATGCCCTGGTTCAAGCCACCGTCCACGAAGATCTGCTATACGAACTTGCCCGCAACCTCCGTCATCTTCCCTTTCAAGCCAGAAAAGATACGCAGATCATATTCTCTCAGATCCTTCGTTTTCGGCCCGGCCAGGCCACCAATGGCGACCCACCAGTCATTTCTTATATTGTACACAATCGTCCCGAGATCATTGTTGAGCTCTGTCGGGGATACGAATCACCCGAGAGCACAATGCCCTGTGGCGCCATCCTAAGAGAAGCACTCAAATTCGACGTGTGTGCGGCCATTATCCTATACGATCAGTCTACTGAGGGTCAACCCGCGATCAGATTGACGCAGGTCAACCCCGATATCCCTCAGAAAGGCAATGGCATCTTTTGGAGATTTTTCCATTGGATCGACAAGAGCAGCTTCGAAGTAAGCGCCGATTCCTTTACAACATTTAGGGTAAGCAACGCCTGTTATGATTGAAGTAGTCATAAGGAGTAACCATGACATAGGACATTCTCACTCGTCACAAGAGTCTTGTGACCTCCTACCTCACTACCAACTTTGACCTCTTCTTTTCCCGCTTCAATGCACTCATCCAATCGAGCTCCTATGTTACCAAGCGCCAGAGTATAAAGCTTCTCGGTGAGATTCTGTTGGATCGAGCCAATTACAGTGTGATGATGGCATATGTTGAAAGCGGGGAAAATCTGAAACTCTGCATGCAATTGCTGAAAGATGATCGTAAAATGATTCAGTACGAGGGGTTCCACGTTTTCAAGGTATGATCCCCTATTTCTCTGGCACGAACGATGGGCGGCGAATCCGTGAATTGCTGATGAGGAATGTGGCATAGGTATTCGTCGCAAATCCTAACAAATCGGTCGCGGTGCAACGGATTCTCATCAACAATCGGGACCGTTTGTTGAAATTCTTGCCTAAATTCCTAATGGATCGCACGGATGACGACCAGTTCACGGACGAGAAGAGTTTCTTAGTCCGTCAAATCGAGCTGCTACCTCAAGAGCCCATTGAACCAGCACGGTCAGCGCAGGAGCCATCCAGATCGCGAGTCAACACCGCCGCTGCGGCCTAGTGCATGGCCTTCTTGGAATGCCCCCTCTTGTTCACGTTCGTCACTACAGCAGGACTGTTTGTGTTGGACCAGCGTCCCTTATTGCATTGATGGCCTACTGGTATATGGCCTCCACGGAGTTATAGAGTGTGTTTCTGTATCTAGGACTCGGATAAAACGACGTTGACATGGATTATCACCGTAAACAGAAAAGCCACAACAAAAAGAACAGGAAGAGAGCAAAAGAGAGAGACCTGTGTCAGTCCTTGCGTTGAGGAAGGATTGTCAAGGGCTTGACCCCTTCAATAATATCACAAAATAATGATGCGGGAGAAAAGACCGGCAATAGTCTGTCGTAAGGGAGTAGTTTATTTGAGAGAACTTGGTTGTAGAACCAAGGATTTGGCCTAGTTGTTATTCAAGGGATATCTACCTTTTCTGTAGTGAGAGTAACCTCTTCCCTCGTGGCAGTACTGTGTTTAAGGTAATATAATGATTATGCTCCAGACTTTATTGCTCACATCACAATAACTTATCTTGTGGATTCAGATCGCACGGCTTCAAGAACCACCACTCCGAGTGAGATTCAGACCACAGTAACTATCTAGAGGTGACAAAATTCTACTAACTATGGATCGAAGCTGATTACTTCTTTCCTCTTCAAGTATAAGAATAATTAAAAGTATTACGTACGGAGAATTTCGTCAATAATATTCGGCTTCAACGAATTTCCGCGACTGACCCACCAGAGCGCGCGGCTTTTGCAGTCCCAAAGTGGGACATGTATGGAGTTCAACTGTACAATAATCGCTTTTTTTAGCCCCCCTATGATGATCCCTGCGTTGAATTTTCAACTGTTAGTCTAATTTTCCGGGTTCCTCTTGGTACCTAGCTAAGCGAATTTTCCTTTTTTTTTTTTTTTTTTTTAAGTAGTATCAAAGACTGTAGAAGACACGAGTT